AAACTCCAAATGATATTTAATAGCCACAAACCTGGTGCATCATCTTTTGTAAGTGAAAGTAACAGGATAATTGAATCTGATGAAGATCTTGTTTATGTTAGTAATGATGATACTGTAAAAACAATATTTAATATAAATAATACTTTCAAAGACTAGAATGAAGTTGATATAGTTGTTAGTAGATATGCAAAGGAAAACAGGTTTGTGGCTATTAAATATCATTTGGAGCTTGATATTGTTGATAAAACGATTGTTCGTCATTGTGTATATAAGTATTAGAAAGCTAGAACCCATAATCCAAAAAAGGTAGAGAATATAACCTTATATCGTGATAGTGATATAGTCAAAACAAAATATTAATAGCAAGCAAGCTTTAATTTTAGAAAATATGCAACTGCTATACGCCTTACTACATTTGTTAATAATCACAGTTATCAATACGATCTAGCAACTATAGAATTAGTACCCAAAAATCTAAGATTTCTACAAATAATTTTAGATAAAATTAAGCACTATACCACCAATGAACATCTAAATGCTGGTCAACAATACAACCTTCTCCTTGAAGAATTTCTTTAATATAATATAAAAAAAAAGAATCTATATAACGCAATTCAAAAGTTTAGAGGAGTACGAATTCATAATGAGTTTGATGCAATTACAATATTTCAGTATCTTATAGAAAAATGTGACAAAGATCCTGAATATTTTGTTGCAACACGTCTGGAAGGATCAACTAATGAACTTACCAGACTTTTCTGGATAACAAGTCAACAACGTAATGAGCTTTAGCCAAAATACCATGATGTTGTGATATATAACAATACGGCCAAAACTAATCGTTATGAAATGGCGCTTAGTATCTTCATTAGTATTGATAATAACTTTAAAACAAAGATTCTTGCCCAGGCTCTAATGAAATATAAAACATTATCTGATTATAGCTGGATACTATAACGTATATTAGAAGCTACTGATAATCTCTCACCTAAGATATTCTTTACAGATGATGATCTAGCAATGTTAGCTGCTATACAGATTCAGTATTGTCAAATTTGCATAATCATTTAATTAGTTATATAATCATTTAAAAGTAATTTATAATTGTTACTTATAACACTGTTATAGGTTATTTATCCACTTGCTTTGTATTTATCATCTTACAGAAAATGTAAAAAGGAAGGCCAAATCCAAATTGTGTTGAGATGCAATAGGGAATTTTATTTGTGATTTTTACCATATACGCAATAGTTATAGCCAGGATCAATTTGAATGTGAATATAAAAAGATGATCACAAAATATAAGCCATACCGGAATTACCTTGAACAAAACTTTATCCAAGTTATGAATTATGGACAAGATATTCAATTTCAAAAATATTCACGCAGGAGTCAAATCAATACAACAAGTCAAATCTATTAATAGTATTCTTAAAAAACATCTGGATTGGAAAACATTATTAAAAGAGTTAGTAAGAGTAATCAAAAGTGAATTAGATAAAGAGACGCAATACAGCTATATTAATGACTACTATGGTTCAAATCCGTCAACTAGTCTTCTATCAGCCTATAATACAGTCTTTAAAGATATTGATTTTATTCTAAAAGAATATTTATCACCTATTCTACTGTCATTTTAGAGGGCACAAATGAAACAGATGCTCTTGTACCAAGGATCATTAATTACGATGGATCAAGTTAGGTTTATAATATAATTAGACGCTATTTGATAAGCTAAAGCTCTAATTTCAAGTATATTCTCTTAAAATCTTCAACATAATGTTCAATTTTGCTAACTAATTATATTATGTTTTGAAAGGTAAAAGAATCAGAAATTAATTCTGAGAATATAATTGAGCACTTATATGATATGTTGCAAGTCAGATTGCAGAAACTCTTGTCAAATATAGATGATAGTAAAATTCAAGAGATATAGAAAATTAATCATATTGAGGTAACATCTAAACCACAATATGTAGTGATTTTTATTGACTCTACAATGCTTTGTACATGTATATATATCATTAATCAGAGAATGCCGTGTTGGCACCAATACCAGGCTCTCTTCAGTCTAATAAAGCAGTATTCCATATGGGCTTTATTCATCTACACTGGTTCAAATTAATACTATCCAAAATATTAAGTTATATTACGATTGCTCAAGGGTTAAAACCCATACTACCAAATCTTTACATTATATTGATCAAATCTAAACACAAAATGTCTATACTTCAACTGTCCAAAAAAAAGTTAGCAAAAGAATTGAATTCGGCAATACAATGTCAGTTGCAAAAACTAGTATCCAAGTTGCTATGACAAAAGGTGTAACCTTTGAGTTGATTGGACTTCTTACACAATTTATAATGAAATTTTGTAATAATACTGAATTAAATATAGAGAAAATATGTTCTATATCAGAATTAAATATTGAAACTAGCAGATCATCATCAAATTTACAAAATCATAAACAGCATCTTTTAGGTAACCATAGTAACCTTTCTGAAATAACAAATCTGGAATATCATAAACCAAGAGGTCGTCCCCCAAAGCACTATAAATCATTAACTGAAGAGAAAAATAATCAATATATACCGTTATCTTCTAAGACCTGTAGTTATTGTCAAGAAAAAGAACACAACATTAGAGGATATAAAAAGCAAAAAGTTGACTCTTTAGACAAGAAAAATAGTGAGTATAAACTTAACTGACAGGTTATTAATTCATGTACAAATTTAGATGTATTATTAGATTTGGATTATCGAAGTTTGTATGTGCAAAATTTGAGTAATTAGATATTCGATGCTTCAAAATTTTAAGCTATAACTGAATATTATCTAATTTGATAACGAAATTTGTGATGCATATACAAATTTGTTGTCAAAAGAATATTTTTGTTACATTCGTATTTGTTCTTATGCGAGTGATACAAATCTAACAAGAAAAATTAGCTAATTGAAGATTATTCTCATATGAGCGAAGCGAAGAAAAACAGAAAAAAACTGAAATACAAGAAATTGTATGTTTAAACTATCTTGGGTCACTAATTAAAAGTGATGGAAATGAACTTTTATATATAGAAAGTAAATGGTTGTTTCTATAGCATCTAACTTTAGCGTTCTTTTATTTTCACAAACTTTATGTTGAATTTCTTTTTTTGGTTTGTATCACTCGAACAAATAAGTATTTTCTTTGTTGCATATTCTAATATGGTTATCAGTATTTGTTTGTTGCATGCACTATATATATTTTAGATGTATCTTAGGTGTTGATAAGCCTGAATTAATGCTAGAGTTAGAGTAGATAAGAATTATTAGTAGTAGTTTAGACAATCTGAGATTATTCAAAAGTAGCAGCATTATATTATCTAAACTATTTATAATATGTAATAGATAGCTTTACAATAATACAAGTAAATCTTGATATAAAAAGGTTGATCAGGTCTATAGGAAAAATTTTACTATATCAAAAGTTTATCGTTAACTTTTTGTTTTTTATATCGAGAGTCACTTGTAATGCTTAATTAAAAGATTTTAAATAATTTGAACATTGAATATTATGAAGTTTAAAGCAAATTAATATATTTATTTTATATATAATTGTTATAATTTTTATTAGCCAATTATAATCATGTGATACTGGTGATGATCGCCACAGGCGATAAATAGCAAATCTTTTTTTTTTTATATATATGATCATTTTTCAAATTTACAAATTATTCTTCAAATTATTATTCTTTTAATTTACATAAATCTTTTTTCAATTTTTTTTAGTTATAACTCTTTCTTCTAATTCTTTGAACACAAATTTGTCAAAAACAAAAAATCAATAAAACACATATTTTGCTAAAAAAAACACAGTTAGTAGAACAAAAAGGAGGGTTCTGGGACACTTTTTTCTCACCTCTATATGAATGATGTTTAAAAA